TGTGTGTTGTTAGATAATATTCAAACAAATACATAGGGATAGACAGACCGTCCTAACTTGCGAGAGACTACAATAACACTGAACAACTCTGTGGCCCTGAAAAGGGCCTTTGTTTTGTTATTATTATATTTTGATAGAGAAAGAGAGCGATCGTTGCACGACGACTATAAACGAGACGAGGAGGCGGCGGTGGTGGCACTGGAGAAAGTGATGGTGATGGTGATGCTGATGGAGGTCGTCCTCGTCCACGTGCTCGTGCTCGTCGTCGCCGTCGGGGAGTAGAATCACCGCGGCGATCACCTCCTCACTTGGAGCTGGTGTACTTGGTGACCGCCTTGGTGCCTTCGCTCACTGCGTGCTTGGCGAGCTCACCGGGCAGCAGCAGTCTCACGGATGTCTGCACCTCCCTCGAGGTGATCGTGGACCTCTTGTTGTAATGGGCGAGACGGCTAGCCTCGGCCGCGATGCGCTCAAATATATCGTTCACGAAGGAGTTCATGATCGACATCGCCTTGCTGGATATACCAGTGTCGGGGTGGACCTGCTTCAACACTTTGTAGATGTAAATGGCGTAGCTCTCCTTCCTCTTGCGCTTCTTCTTCTTGTCTCCCTTGGCGATGTTCTTCTGGGCCTTACCGGCCTTCTTCGCTGCCTTTCCGCTAATCTTGGGCGGCATTATTATTTATATATTTAAAAAAACGGAAGAAGAAAAAAAAAAAAAAAATAAACAAATAACCGCAAAAGATATAAAAAATGCGCAAATAAACAAAACGAGAATCGAAAGTGACGCGTACCGTGCCGTACAGTAGAATCGACCGACGGACGAGTGGATACAAACACCAATGAACGATAATCCGAACACACTTACTTGATATATATAGACCGTGGTCGGCTCGAGGGCGCACCGGGTGTAACGCGCGCTACGACCAATAGCGGACCGTGCGCATCGCGCCGCCGCAATAGACTGCAAAACCCCCCCCCCCCCCGCCTATTTAAAGAATAATAATAACAACAATAATAATAAATAAAAAAAAAAAAAAAAAAAAGTCAATATAGGTGATTCGTTGTGAAGGTAAATCATCATTGTGTGAAAAAAAAAAAAAAAAAAAAAAATTATAATAATAATAATATCCACAAATTGTTATAATTAATAAGAAAAGATACGGTTCTAAGTATTAATATAATTGTATGTTTGTTTACCTGATATTGGCGTGTACCAGGACAAGTGTTAATTGATATCATATGAGCTATACAATCAATTAATTAATATAAATCACACTTTTTAAATATATAATTTTATTATTATTATTATTATTATTATTTTTTTTTTTTTTTTTTTTTTTTTTTTTAATAATATTCAAAATTCAAAATTCAAAAATCATTTATTCATGTAGGACATTTTAGCCGCTTATGAACGTAAAATTTTTACATTATAATTTTATATTTACCCTACCGTCCAGTTCGGTATATAGATCCAATTGAGAAGAACTGGCAAGAAACTCAATTGAATTACTTTTTTTTTTTTTTTTTTTTTTTTAAGCCAGTTTATTTACAATAGTTAATGAATTTACAAAATAAGTATTACAAATTAATATATCACTATGTCTGTTCTCGATCTCTGTGTGTACATAAAAACTATTATGTTTATTTATTTATTATTTTTCTTCGTTACATATATACACGCGGATTAATTGTACCGCGGAATCGACCTTCTTCTCCTCAAGAGACGCGCACTGCGTATTTCAGATCAGTATTGCGGCCCTAAAAAGGGCCTTTTTATTATTATTATTATTTTTTTTTTCTCATTCACGTCACATCACATCACACCACACCACACCACACACATAAGACACACCGCGACGACGACGTAAGGACTCGACCGGCGAGCGCGCGCCGCGCAGGTGTGCTAGTCGGAGTGCGAGTGTGAATGTGAATGTGAATGTGAATGAATGCGAGCGCAAACGAGAAGCGAGACCTCTTAAGCCTTCTTCTCGGTCTTCTTGGGCAAGAGTACGGCCTGGATGTTAGGCAGTACACCACCCTGAGCGATTGTCACGCCGGAGAGCAGCTTGTTCAACTCCTCGTCGTTCCTTATGGCGAGCTGCAGGTGTCTCGGTATGATCCTGGTCTTCTTGTTGTCCCTAGCGGCGTTGCCGGCCAACTCTAGCACCTCGGCGGCGAGGTACTCCATGACGGCCGCCAGGTAGACCGGAGCGCCGGCACCGACGCGCTCCGCGTAGTTGCCCTTGCGCAGCAGCCTATGGATACGGCCCACCGGGAACTGAAGACCGGCGCGATTGGATCGCGACTTCGCCTTCCCCTTGACTTTGCCGCCTTTGCCGCGTCCGGACATATTGTGTGTCGTGTGTCTTGTAAATAAATATATAACACAGAGGAATAGGACAAACGTTTCGCGACCAGCGGGAAACGTTCGAGCGATACGACAAAATGTAAGTAATGAACGAATCCGTATCCTGTCTTCTCACATTCCCACTACGTAGGAATGGGGAGACCAGTCCGGGGCTGGTTGGCCCTTCTCTGGTTGTAGTCCGCGCCATGCGCGACTGCGCATGGGTCGCTGGATGAGCCTTTGGCTGGTGGCTGCTTGTCGTCTTTATCGAATTTTTATGTTCCTCACGTGGGTGCCGACCGGCTCGCTCAACGCGGTCTTCGCCTGCCGGGTGAGACCCCTTGGGGGGAGGCCCAGCAAGCTGCCAGCGGATGTATGAGCGGCCGGTGGCACCGTGGTGTTAGTGGGTTGTTTATGTTGTCTCAACTGGTGGTTGCGCGCGCACTAGTTCGCGCCCGGATTGCCTGGAGTACGGGGGGCGCGCGTGTAGCGGCGCCAGATCTTTTAGATGGTCCCAGGTCGACGCGTCGGCTCGCTCGAACATTCTGGTGGCCAGGTCCTCGATGAAGCTGTCCAGTGTTGGCATCTTGAGGTCCCTCTCAAGGGTGGAGTTCCTTATATATTTGTGAGCACCGGTAATGGTACGCAACGTCAGGTTCTGTTGGGCTCTGATGGTGTCCTTCGTGGTTTTGCTTAGATTTGCATACCACACCGGTGCTGCATAAGTGAGACGTGGTCTAATATATGTTTTGTAAATTGTGAGCTTATTCGTGAGAGGAGGCTTCCGCTCAAC